CTTCTTCAATCTGTCCACCCTCCCTTGAACTGCCGGGAGGGTCTAAGAGCTGCTACTTCTCCACATTGAGAGGAGCCAAGTGAGGTGGCTTGGGCATCTGATAAGGATGCCTCCTGGAGGCCTTCCTGGTGAGGTGTTTTGGGCATGGCCTACCGGCAGGGCGCCCCAAGGGCAGCCAAGGACACGCTGGAGAGACTATGTCCCCCGGCTAGCCTGGGAACGCCTTGAGACCCGTCTAGAAGATGTCGCTGGGACAACAGGTGAGTATAGCACTCCACTGTACGATACGCACAAGTTAATAAAAGCGCGATGTTGCCTGTACTGCACTGAACAGATAAATAACCCTTATTAATGCAGTGAATAACAAAATTGTACTTTTCTCAGTCAATGAAAGCAGGTAAATGTGCAAAGTAGGTATTATGGAAAAAACATTGCAAATTGAGAATGTAAATAAACGTACACATATTGAGAGCAACACACTACTAATGCACGCTAAACCTTAGAAATATGCTGACAGAAATTGCATCGTAATGGCCATTTGAGAGGATTGACATGGGTGTAGTTCTGTCAGCATTGCATACCATCTATTTGGTGAAAGTAGAATGGCGACAAGTGAGACCGGTATCGGCTGACACCTGGAATCGGAACTGGCATGTCTCTACTTCTGATGAACCCAAATGTTTTCAGTCTTAAACAAAATTGGACCTGGCCTCACTGTTCGAAACTTTCGAGACGAGCGTCGACCAAGGCTCTTTCACAAGATCAGGAATTGAGCCCGAAACCATCTGACTGGAAATCAATGGACCAAATATGCATCTGACATGACTAATGCATGGGCCACACACGCCTCTCATTCTTACTCCCTCGGCATTTCTCACTCAAGCTCTTTCTCTTTCGTTGTAAATTAGGTCATGGCAACGGGTAGCCAAAACATGCGCCCAAACCCTCGACACCCCCAGCATGAGCGAGTTCAGTGCTGAGACAGGCAGACAGCTGCCTCTGAATGAGGGTGAGAGAGTGAGTGTGTGTGTGTGTGTGTGTGTGTGTGTGTGTGTGTGTGTGTGTGTGTGTGTGTGTGTGTGTGTGTGTGTGTCAGACGGGTTAAAGGCGGTCGCTGCATGCAACATTCAGCACTGCCAAAGTAAAGCAACTTGGTGTGTGTGGCTGACATTTCGGCATTACGGGCCGTCATCAAGGTCCCATTTGACCTCCATCCCCATGTCGCCACGGTTGTCAATGCACAGGACATGCCCAAGCCCCACCCCCGCGACGTCGCCGTCGCATCTGCTACCGCATCTCTTGTTTACTTTTGTTACCCTTTTTTGCCCCCATTTCACCACATCTCTCCGTTCTTCTGTCGCCAATCTCACACTTGGTTCTCCACCTCTCTGTCATTCATTCGATCACGTTAGACAGGTCGAGTGGACATTGCATGTTTTTCTCTCGGTACCTAGATGACTGAGCCCTATGAAGAACAAATGACCAGGTAATTATGTCTGATGTGAGGACAAGAATCAGGGCAATTGTGTTGATATGTGTTGCTGCACCTGCTGGATCGTTCCTGACTTTTGTTAGTTGATGAAGTTTGTGTTGCTTGCGCCAAATTCTTTCTATATGAGTGCTCCGCATATAGAAGTCTGTGATTTATTTTTTATAGTGACTTGGAGGAGAAATTTCAACACAGGAAATTATTAGACAATAAGTGAGAGTAATGTCAATTTACTGGGCTGTAGCTAGTCTTCGAGCCCCAGCAATATTTCTCATATTTTATGTTTCTCATATGAAAATGTCACTGTGCATGTGCTTAATATTATGTATACGATATGCAGCACAGTTTGTGTAATGTCCAGTAACACGTCTTGCAAAATGTATGTGTGGTTCACTAACTTACAGAGCAATGCAATGATCGTTTCCTAAATTTTGGAATCATTTTGCCATTGGATGTAGGTGATCATGGCACGTCCCACACACTGCTCTGCTTTGTAGAATAATCTTACATGAAATCAATTTTTCTTTTTTGTCCACGTCAAGACATTTCATAAAAATTAGTCATTTTTTATCGTGTACATTCTATTTTCATGATCAATATGGGGTAACTGTGCCTTGAGGAAAAACAAGCAGCACTTTGTCTTTCTTCAAAGGAAGCTGAAACAGTGAGTGGCTGCAGAATAAATATTTACACAAATGTTCTGTAATTTTCCTCATATTTGGTGTGTAGTTTGACCTTGCCAAAGGGAACATGTCCGCTCTGTCATTTTGAACTACCAAACAATCAGATTCTCTCTCTCTCTCTCTCTCTCTCTCTCTCTTTCTATATCAGGGGTCGGGAACCTTTTTGACTAAGAGAGCCATAAAAGCAAAATATTTGGAAATGTATTTCAGTGAGAGCCATATATATATGTGTGTGTGTGTGTGTGTGTGTGTGTGTGTGTGTGTGTGTGTATATATATATATATAT